TTTTTATCATTTGCACCAAATTAATAATTTTATATCCGCTTTTAGTGCCTGGTATAAGAAGGCTCAATTAATTAATTAATTAATTAATTTTGCAGGAAAAATTATAATAGGTTGCTCTTAATTCTTCTAGCCAGCTCAAGCAGCCTCCGGACTTCTGATAGGGTACTGGCCATTACAGGGGTATAAATGTTGGGATCTGGAATGTTTCCCAAAGTCTCATGTATTACAAGCATGGTCTCCAATGCAGCAATGTTCATAGGTGGGGTTTGGGGAAAGTGATTGTATCATGAGGGCTCTGACCTCATCAGTAGATTATTCCATTGATCACTGAATAGATGACTGGGAGGTAGTGGAAAATGTAGGCAGTGGTGCATAGTTGGAAGAGGTAGGCCACTGGGGGGTCTCCATGGATGGATATTTCTTGTCACTAGTCCATCTTTCCTCTGTTTCCTGGTTGCTAAGCAGCTTTCCTTTGCCACACCCTTCTACCATGATGTTTGTGACTTGGAGCCAGTCGACCATGGACTGAAACCTCTGAAACATGAGCCAAAATAAAACCTTCCTCCTTTAAGTTGTTTATGTCAGGTATTTGGGCCATTGTGATGAAAACCTGACTAATACAAGGGTAAGTACTAAGTGGAGGTTAGGTGGAAGCAGAGTAGTTTGTAGAATTTGTGGAAAAAATTACATTATAAGGAACTTATTTTCTATTGAAAATCACCAAATCACAGGGTAAACATCAATCAAGACATTTACAAAGTAGAAAATTAATACAATTTAAATAGGATTTTAGCACAAAGAGCAAATCTGTCTGAATGTGCTCCTTAGAACTCATCCAGGGTTTCAGGCAAAAAGCTAACTGGAACTGGGGCTTTGCCCTCCCAGAGAGATAGGTTGCACCCAAGTTTAACTTCCCATGGGAATTATTTCCCTCACAGGAGAACTGTAATATCCCATTAAATCCAAAGTCCCATACAAGGCCTATAAACAGATGGTGCCCAAAATTCAGAGTGCCTGGCTTCAAGCAGCCTGAGTAGTCCATCACTGACAAGGTTCTTTTTAGGCTCACCAAAAGAAGGGAGAGCAAGGGACCAAGGGATCTTCTCAATGGAACCCGAAGGCACCTTTCAGGCCCAGAAAGGGCTCCTTCTCACCAATGCTCAATTAGCTAATACCAGCAGCACAGACCAACACTGAGCCCACAGTATGAAACCATTTCTCAAGGAGACCAGCCAGCCACTCTAGATTGATTACTTTGGTCCCTTCCACAGGGGATGTGTGACTGTGAGGCAGTAATTCATTCTTTCCAGAACTGCTTCAAACACTCAGGAAGTTTCCCTTCCCTATCTACACTTCCCCCACCAGCACCACCATTCAAAAGTTTATAAAGTGGTTATCTATTGAGATGGTATCCCAAACAGTATTGCCTAAAGCCAGGGAACCCATTTTACTACAATGGAGTTGCACATGACTATGAGAACCACTGCTCTCATTGTATCCCTCATCACTCAGAAGCAAGCAGCCAAAGCAGCAAGTAACTTTTTAGCTTTTAGACCATAACTTGGGGAGTTGAGGGTGACAATAGATATTGTTGGTCCCATGAATAGCCTCCATTCTGGTCACCATGAAAGACCCCAGGTAAGACCAGGAGAATTGCCAAGCTGAACCCACCCCAAATTGCTGCCTCATTGCATAATGAACAAATAAAGTGATTATTATTTTAGACTATCATGTTTTGAAATGGTTCGTTACATGACAATAGATTATTGATACAACAGGCAAGATCAAAAACATCTGAAATGGTACATAAGATGTGTAGATAAAGACATAGATAAAGAGAATACACACTAAATTCTGTCACATTATACAGAAATCTTCCAGGCTGTCTTCCACAGGACTTACCAAGAAGTGGCAAAACCAGTTCTATGACTTATCACTTAAACATGTCCTCTAGCCTAAGTAAGAAAAGACTACAAGGGAGATGTTTATTAGTTACCTCTGAGAGAGTGTTGGAGACTTTCTTTCCCAGTGGGGAAGGGGAAGCCAAGCAAGGGGGGGCTCAGAGGTGTCTTCAAGATGTATTTCTCTCTAGTTGCTTGATTACTGAACTGTAGTGATCTGTATGTAGAATTGGAGAATTTTAGGAAAAACTTGCCATGTATCTTTGGAGTTTGGAGGCCTGTGTCAACATAGACACTGCTGCATACCTCTTGGAATTCTGAAGGAAGGAAGCTTGCTGAAGCAGCAGTGACATGTCTGTTCACCATGGCAAGACCACATAGGTTTCCCATGGATCCAATGAGTGTTACAGAAGGAGAAAAAAGCTTAAGCCCTGTGCTTGCTTCCTGCCTGAGGCTCTGTCATTGGGTGAGGGAAACCTGGGGGTAAGATGCTATGGGTATTCTACAAGATTTTGGGTCTGAGAATAAGTTAGAAAAGATTCAGTCATGTCTAATAACTGTGCAACGAAGAGATTCCTGAACAATCATGCTTATGAGTAAGCATTTGGATGCCAGTCACATACAAGCTACTGACAACCAAGAGAGGATGTATTGACACATTGAAAAGTAAAAGACACCAGGTGCTAAGGAGAGAGAGGCCAGACAGAGGACTTCTCTCCTGGGACATGCTGATGAATCTTCCCAATGGGAGCATGAGTAGAAACCAAAAAAATAAATAAATAAATAAATACATCAAGAGAGAAAGAACTAATTTTAAACATCTTCCATGTCCACAGGGAACAAAGCTGTCTTTTGACATATCAGTAAAGCAATACTTTGGCCAGCTCAATTTCTACCCTCTTCACCCCTGGAGAAGAAGCTATGGTTATCAAGATAGGGGAGGTGAAGTAGAAGACTAAAGAAGAGAAAGGGAAAGGTTCCCCATGCTTCCTTGATTTCAAACTTCTCACTAGTGGGTTCCAACTGGAAGAGAAGACAAGATACAACTTTAAATCAAGTTCTAATTATGGGGTTGCTGCTTGTCCCCACCCCCGTGATCTTTTTTCCAAGGTCATGGGATTTTTTTTTTTTTTTTTGGCTAGGTATGAGGTAGCTTAGAATGAGTCCACATTTCCAAAGTCTCTCCTGTTGGTGAATACAATAATGTGATTAAGTTTGGGTGAAGGGATTGTGAACTTGTGATGTTAACTTCTGGGTCATGCCCTTGAAGGAAATGGGTACATCCTTCCTGATGACTGGAATGTGATAAGGTACTGGGCCATTCTGGACCATGTAGACTAGGACAATACTCTAGGGATGGTGAATCAAGAAGACAGAAGGAGACTAACCTCAGCTTACTGTGTGAAACAGAGCTTCTATATTAGTACACATTTGTTATGTAATAAGCAAAAGTCCCAGTGCTATCCAATAACAAGTGTTTATTTCTCATTCATGGATTGGTAAGTTGGCTGGGGCTGCCCTGATTGGCATGACTCTGATCTTAAAAGTTTTCAACAAATATTTTAGCACAATGGTCTTCACTATGTGGGGTGTGACAGGAGTGAATGGCCCCCTTTCTGACCACATTCAGCTTCCCCAGGGAGTGACTCTCTTGATGATGGAGCTTCTCTGCTTCAAGATGCAGACCAAGTTCAGCTCTAGCCCATGTGTCTGATTCTCATCCCCCGGCTGAAGAGAGATTTGAAGCTCTTTGAGGGAGGGGTACATGTCTTCCCATAGTGAAGTTGGATCTGGTTTGCAGTTTCCCCACTTTCAACTCCTGTTTGAGACATCATTACAAGTGGATGCTGCTTTCTCCTCAGTGGTCTGAGTTTTTCTAACACAAAGCCCTTCTCTAAACATCTAAATTGTAATATTCCCAACATCTTCCTTTTGTCCCTCTCACTTTAGACATCATGGCTGCTTCCTGCAGTTGCCATCACGTGATACATTGAATTCTGTGGTATTTTCAGTTGCTGAATAATCAAATCTTTATATTAATTATGTTAAAATAATTAGGGTGGTTTGTTTCTTGACATTACTTTGACCAATTCATTGGACTAAAATCCTGTGCCTGTGAGATGCCCCTCAAAAACTTTTGCATTGAGGTATTGTCATGACATCCTCCCTCTATATCTGTCACTCCTCTCTGTATTCATTTCTATGAGAATTTACTGTGGTAAACTGTCATCACTGTTGTCTTTCATCTTCATTCCAAGCCAACAGCTCTCCAAGTTCAGAGTATATTAATTTCTTCAGTTCCTAACACAGAAAATTCTGAACACATGCCTGAATAAATGAATGAGCTAGCAAAAATAAAGCAGGAAAAGGAGTTATGTAGCACCAAAATGAAAGAGAAAGTTAGATGATGTGAGAAACAGGAGGCCCGTTGCTGCCAGCTGTGAACCCAGCTTTAAGATCACAGGAAGCTCTTGTTAAATAACGTGAACCAAGAACAAGATGAAGAGGCTCCTGAGATTTCAAAGAAAATTCTCACAACGAGAATAGGGAAGAGCAAAGGGCTGGAGTATTCCCGGGGACGCAGAAATGTGTTGGCCATTTGAGCTTCTGAAGGATGACCAAGCCCTAAGAGATGCCTCTCACTATGTCACCTGGTCCTGCCAAGCCCTTCACCAGGTTTCACTCCCAGTCCCTCCGCCGCCCGCCTCTAAAACCCGGAGAACTGGGTCCCGCCCTACGGTCATTCTGGGCATGCGCTATCCCACGCTCCTGCGCAGGCGCACTAACTTCCCCCTTGTAACCGGTGCTGCCCATTTCCGATATGGGGGAGCGTTTGCTCTGGCTAATTTATCACCTTTCCTGTGGTCCCCCGCCCTACGGTTCCTGTGGGGTAAGCCTCGCGAGATTGCCTACGGCAGTCCCCGGCGGCGCCATCTTTGTGCCTGGCGAGCGACGGCTCCCGACGGAAGCCCTGAAGCCAGCGGCTCGCCTGCCAAGCTATCGCGGAGACCGGATCCAGGAAATACTAGGCGGGCCTCGGTGGGAGGGACGCACTGAGGGAGGAGGGAGGGAAGGGGGCGGCGGCGGCGGCGGCTCACACCGGATCCAGGCTCCGCGCGGCGCGCACCCGAGGGGGGTCGGGCGGGGAAACGGCTCCGGCCCGGACCCCCCCGCGGGAGCAGACGACGGGCGTGAGGGCTAGGCGGCGGCTGCGAACGAGGAGCTGCGGTCGCTGGGTGAGTGTCCGCGAGGAGGCCCGGCACCTGCCCGTGCCAGGGCGTCGATGGTGCCTCGGGGTCGTCCTGGTGATCTCGCGCCTAGGCCGGTGGGCGTGTGCGCGACTGCGGGTATCCTGCGAGCTTGGCTTGGCCTGGAGCTGAGGCTGCCACTGGGAACTGCAGGGCTGCCGGAGGTCTGCGCAGGGCCTGGCGCGTCCGTGCCCGCCCGGGACACCCCGAGAGGCGAGAGGCGGAGGGGAGAGGGAGTGGCCGGTGGGGGGGGGGCTTGATTGGCGTTCGTCCCCGGAGTGAGGGGATGATGTCCTCCTTCGCGGGTTCCTACCTCTGCACCGGTTTGACACCCTGGCAAGGTATTTGGTGATGAGGACTAGCAGCACGTAAGGTTAGGTCTGTTGAGTGTGTTGAGACATGTGGAAAAGGTTAGTAGTAATAGTAATAATTGTTAGCAAGTGTCGAGTAAAGAGAAAACATTGTCTGCGTTCATTTAAAGATCACATAAGCAGTACTCTGAGGTTCAGCAACAGACTAGAATTATTCCCAGTTGGACTTCTTTATTTTAGTACCGTGTGCCTGCTCATAAAGTGCATAAAAGCAGGATGGGGGGTGCGGATGAGATGGGGACAAGGTGGGGAATACACTGCATGAAAATCAAAAGTTGGTATTGTTGATGTGTTAAAATATTAAAGCATTTTCTGTCTTTACGAAACGTTAAATTCTTTAACAAAATTAGCTACCTTTGGTCGAGACAAGGCTTTTCAATTTGGTGTATTCTTTATTGACGTTTGTCTATCAGACAGTAATTTTGGTGTATTATATATTTACTTATGGTTTGTAAAAGGATAGGAATGAGTGGGATAAAAGAACAGTTTGGACAACTGAGCTCCCTATACCCACTTTTATTTTGGAAAGATAGGAGAGTTTACAGAAAGTAAACTCTTTGCTTTTGTACTGATTTGCAATAGTAAACAAGAACATGTGTAAGAAAAAAACCATTTTTTTGATGAAGAAAGGGCTTTTGAGATGAGAGTTTAATTTTGCAGTGTTAAATTATTAAAAGGCATCACCAACCATGGTACATTTTGTCACTTTGTCTTTTTATGAACACTGGAAGAATGCAAACATATACTCATAATTTTAAGCCCACGTGTGATAGAATTTTTTTACAACTTTAGATCCCCCTACCCCATTAGCATACTTGGCTCAGTCAAGGGAAAATTAAACTTCAGTGAAGGTAAATATTAAATATGATTTTCATCTTGACAGCTAACAGAACATTACCTGTGTTCACTCACCCTGAATTTTCTTCCTTATGTTTGTTTGATACATTCCTTAATTATAGACCATTCTACAGTTTGTGCTAGAGCTAACACAGAGTATGTTCAGGCACTGGGCTTGGTGTGTAATGTGCATTTGCATTAATCCTTGAAGCTACCCTATGTAAAGATAATCTTATACATGTTGCACAGATATAGACAATAACCTCCAGTATTCTGTAACTTACGTGGGTAGTTAAGGAGATCATATAGCTGGTAAATTGCAGAACTAGAACTCAAACTAATTCTAGAACATATGCTCCATCATATTCTGCATAAGTTTATGTGCTGACTAATACAAATTTTATGAAAATGGAAATTTTTATTACAAAGAAACCTTTCAGTTCTGTTGGTAATCTTGAAAGCTTTCAGTGTCCTTGACTCAATATAATCTTAAGGTTCTTTTTTTTTCCCTTTTCAAATGTGTTCGTTTTCTACCCAGAGGTAATATTTGGGCAAAATTTCAGAATTTTGTTGATCTGTAAAAGATTCCTAATAACTCATAGTGACCTATCTGGAATTCAGATGTTTTCAGTAACTTTTCCTCCTATTTCAGCATGCCAAAATACTGCAAAGATCAGATATTTTCTACTCGGGAGGCCGAGGTAAGAGGATTGCAAGTTTGAGACCAGCCAGGCCAACTTAGCAAGACCCTATCTCAAAAAATAAAAAGTGTTGGAGATGTAGCTCAGTGGCAGATTATCCCTGTGTTCAATCCCCAGTACCCACACAAAAGATATTTTATTTGTTCTGATCCTTTACATTATTAAAATAGTAACTATTCATAGGGTTTTGGATTTGTTTTCTGGCACATTGGAGGTATATGCATACACCCTTACCATCTCTAGCAATTAGAGTACTTGGTAGCTGACCCTAGTTTTCTTCCCTTTAATTTAGTACAAAGGTTTTGGACTCAGGTCATGGTTTGTAGAAAATATGGCAGCTATTATGGGAAACAGCATAATCTCTTATGGGGATGGCAATGAAAAACTTTAGAGGTTCCCAGCAGTATCTGAGACGTTGGTGAAAGAGCAGAAACATTGTGGGGAGTGTCACTTTTGTCTCCCACTGGTCTCTGCTGTTGCATCTCTGATGTGCTGTTGAGCCCTGTCGTCCTGGCCCTTATCTCTGCAAGAGAGAGGCCCTACATCTGGGTATCTGGGTAGAGTTCAACTGGAACAACAACTGTAGGAAAATAAAGGTATTAAGTGGCCCTCATTTCTAAAAGGTCATTTGGTCAGTTTTACCTGTGTGATTATCTCTGGCTGGAATTTCTAGAAAAGTTACGCAATTTGGGATTTGCTATTTCATCTTTTAAGAAGTAAATTGTTTGGTTGCCTTTAATGAGATAATCATGTCTTCTAGAAATGGAAAAAGAAGTCTTGTGTTTTTCAGTACATAGCAGCATACATGTGTGTTACACAGAGTGTTGGAGTGGATTTTTCAATAATACCTTGGAGTCTTGACAGGCAGTCTCTTAGTCTGAATGAGCAAGTTTTTAATTATAGTTGTACTTCCAAGAATGAAGTTAAATGTAGTCCAGTGTGATGGCACATGCCTGTAATCCCAGCAACTGGGGAGGCTGAGGCAGGAGAATTGCAAGTTCAAGGCCACTGGCCAATGAAGTAAGACCCTACCTCAAAATAAAAAGTAGAGCATGTAGCTCAGTGGTAGAGCACCCCAGGTTCAATCTCCAGTACCAAAAAAAAAAAAAAAAAGTACTTCTTTACTTGTGAAGGTAGTGACTCATGTTATTTGGGCTACGAGGGTGAAAAAATTGACAAGTGATAATGTAACTGAGAGCTTACCAAGTAAGAAAACCTTCCTGAAATGTTTTATATTGTCACTATATAAAGAAAGACACCAGAATATTGCCTCATGTATTTAGAAGTTTATTTTAATACTTTCTGCATAATAAAACCTCAGATTATTACCAGGGACACAGATATTTGTCTAATAGTGAAGTGGACCTGATGAAATATTTGTAACTGTCAAACTGAATCCTGAATATTTAAGAACATTTATTACAGTATAATTCATTGACGGGTCTATTATTTTATTTTTCCAATTCTCCAACTTCCCACTTCCTTCCTTACCTAAAATTTCTCATTTTATTTTCCTTCCTGTCTTCCTGCCTGCCTTTCTGACTCTCTCCATCCCTCCTTTCTTTCCTTTCTTTTTCTCTTTATTTTTTTTCTCTCTCTCCCCCTCCCTCTCTCCCTCCATCCTTCCATCCCTCCCTCCCTTCCTTCCACTACCCGGGTCCTTCCCCTTAGTTCTCTGAAGTGAATGAGAATAACCCAGGCCAGAAAGGTAGTGTCAAGACACCTACTACGGGTTTTCTTCTTCCCTTTCCTTAAGCATTAAGGAGGAAAGTTTGTAAAAAAAAAAGCCCTTGTGTTGCAGGAGCAGGCACTGTTCCCTCATCCTCTTCACCAACCACCCCACTGTCTTACTTTTTCCTCTCTCTTTTCACCTGTCATCCCACCCTTGATACTTCTCTTCTAAGTGTCTTGCCTTCCCAGTTCTGAGTCTTCTACTCTAGCTCTGCTTTTTGTCCTCATTCATGCCTTACTTCCTGCTCTCCCTTGATCAGGGAGGCTGAGGCTGTGGTCCTAGAGAAGCTCAGATTCCCAGTTTGGGCTGGGAAGATTTCCTTTTTCTACTTTCAGGACTGAATGGGGCAGGGGTAGTTGCTTTTATCTGAAGTTGGAATGTTAAATGGGTTTTCCCATAGAAACATTGCTCGCACAGGTTAAGTATTTTGTTATTCTCCTGTAACCTTGGTCAGGCTTTTGTGGGGTGACTTGGAAACCTAGCACATTGACCATTGTTTCCAGAAAGCTGAGATCTGAGGTTCAAATAGATGATTTAAAAAATCAGCTTGTCACCAATCAAAAATAAATGAATGAAAGGAAGATCAGTAGAGGAGGAATAGAGAAAGGGATGAGAAGAGTGAAAGTGGGGGAATTGAGACTGAATTGGAGTAAATAAAATTCCATATATCAAAATGAACCCAACTACTATGTATAATTATAATGCTCTAATAAAGAAATAAATACAAAAAAAATCAACTTGAGTCCCAGAAGTCACTGGAGATTGTCAGCATTTTGTGAATTACCTAGTGAGGTGGTAGGTATCATACCTTTAGCTATTAAAAATTAGGTTTGTTTTTCTAATGTACTGGCTCTTCTGGGAAATAATCTGATAGGCTTATTAGATTGTCAAAAAAGAATTCCTGAATTTAGGTACATGTTTTGAAATAAAATTTAAATTCAGTCCATTTCAGTTTGTTATTAAAGAAGATCTTACAGTATTGTTGACAGTACAGAGTTTTAGTTTGTCATGAAAGGAATATCTTGTTCCTTTCTTGCTGATGTTTTGAAACTTTTCAAAGGTATTGGACCTCGTGCAGCTATTTTACCCTAGTTTACTTAGTGGTAAATATGGACAGTATGTTTGTTTTACCTGAAGATTTTAAAATAAAGTTTTATTAGTCTGTTGGAGTTACATAATGTTACCATTATTTGTGGTGTTCAAACAATTAAGTGAAAGATTTCAAAGTGATAAAAGCAAAGCCAAATGCATTTTACATTTGTTCTCCATAAATGTGTTTAATCTTAGGTTGGTTGAAGGAAATATTCCTAATAAAAGGCAAGATGGATCTTTTTTAGTTTTTGTTCT